CCTCAGCCGCCTCAGCCCCCCGCCTCAGACTCTTCAGTCCCGCTCCTCAGCTGCCTCAGCCCCGCGCCTCCAGCTCCTTCTGCTTCGTCCCCTCAGCGCCTCAGCTCTCACCGCGCCCTTGGTCCGCACCAGCCCAGCCGGCCCGGAGGTTTCCTCTCCTCCCTCAGCATCCCCAACAGCCCCTTCATTTCACACCATCTTCTCCAGATGGTTTCTGGTCTGGAGCACGCTAATCCCAGCGCTCTCCTTTCTCTCACCCCTTGTCCCCGCAGTTACGGCTTGTTATTGTCCTGCAAGCGGGGTTCGACACCCGGTGTGCAATAAGCCAATCTTACACACAGAGCCAAGATCTTTATTTATTTTATGTTTGCGCAAAGATGGGTGCTGGGTGATAATTCCACAAAGCTAGCGCGCCACACCAAAGAACTACAATGTATTTATTCTGTTACATGATTCGTAAAAACCCGCCTAAATTTACGTTCATTGGTTGGGTTGACAGTCACCGTCTCATCTACTATCGGTTAGTTATATTTAAATTAGCCTCGCTTGCTATGTAAATTAGCAAGCATGCTCCTTGCAGGTGTGTGGGGGCAAGTCTTTCCAGTCTTGAATTGAGCCGGTGGTCGGGATCTCCCCCTGCTGCCTTCACCTTTCATACCTTTACCCGGTTCAGGCTGCTTTGGCAGTCATCCGGCCTTCGGCGCCTTTGGGAGCAGGATCTTTCCTTTTTATCAGTCTTTAGTTCCTCCTTCAAGGATATAGTCCTTAGCAAAGCACGTATTGTTTAGACGAAGTAACCAGGCCTACATGGTGAAACTATTGAGTAAGGGTCCTCCTTAGAGGACAATGCATCATATTTAACCCTAAATTGAGCAGAATCACCACCGTCAGGCCGTAACTCAAACACAGGACTCCATTATGCCTTAAATCTGTCAAAGACAGGGCAGTGCAATGGGGACGGGAGCTCCCGGACAGCTTGTCCATGCGAAGTCTCATGGATGCTGTCACCGGCCAACTGACAAGATCAATACCAATAAAGTTACAAGTTTGACCTAAATAAGGTGTGGTTCTTAAGAACCACCTTGGCTGAAAGATTGCATGACAGTGCAGTTATTTATTCTGAAATGTATAGACTTCACTGAACTGGCTGCATAAGGGAATTGAGAAATCATCTACCAGACGCTGATCTTCTAAGTACTCACAGAAGACATGAGATGCCTACCGGCAATACTTCTCAGCACAGCTTGGGCTGTATTGTAATTGTTTCTTAATCTTTGCTCATAAATCATAGGGATATTAAAGCAAAGCAGGTAGTGCTACTTATTAGTAAGTTTGCCAGAGACTGGCCTTTTTTTTTCTCCAAATCTGAAGATTTATGTTCTCACTAGCTATTATAAATTTAATGTATTTGGACTAGAATTTTCCAAATCAGTCAGAAACCAGGCTATTTTCTTTGGTAGTTGTAGGCAAAATCACCTAATCATTTGAAAGACTAAGATGGTTGTTGTGCAACATTAAAATATTCCATTAACCTTTTTCTTTTTTATTAGAAGCTCAGGTGCCCTCATGATTGATCCAACACATTTTAATGTAGCCAAGATACTTGGCTGTATGTGGGGGACCTGACTCCTGCTATCCTCAAGAGAAGTCAGCTACTTGGAGTAACGTTCTCAAACTTCGTTGGTTTTCCCATTAAGCATATGATCAGGAGCGACCTACATTTTTCAAATCATATATCTCCAAAGACTTGTGGCAGATAGTTCAGGACAGTTTCAGGAGAAGCAGTCTAATTATACAATGTGCCAGAATGTTTGCAGATTCCAGGGCTTAGACTGAAAGCCCTTTTGGATAAGGATTGTTTCTTACTTTATGTTGTCCAGCATCTACTAAGATCCCAATTTGATTCAAAGCTTCTAGTTATTATAGGTAACTATAGTAACTTCCATTACTATAAGTAATGAATTAGTAACAAACTCCCTTTGGTCAATTAGAAAAAAATCATAATGAATATTCAGTAATCAACAACAATACTGAATAACTAGGGATGCAAGTCCACATACTACTTGCTCTTTGTTCAAAAAAGAATGACCCATAACCTAAAACCTTACATTTACTGATGCAGCCTAATGGTGATGCTGAGCCTATAGGAAATAAACAAAAGATTTCCCTGAACTAAAGGAAAAATAGTTCAAAAAGTCTGAGACTTGTGAAATACTTTGAGACTAATGAAAAACTACCAGAAAAGATATTACTACAGATAGGTTCTTGTTAATATTGCTCTTAAAGAAAACAATTTGACTGCAGTGCTAAAAACCTTTTGTAATTTTATACTGCAAAGATGTGATTGTGCCCATGATTAACTTTAGGCAAACAATTAGTTTACAATCTAACTTAAGTCCTGTAGTTCTAATACTTATACTTGTTGTTGTGCAAAAATAAATAAATATATATATTTTACAGTGGCTCTTAAAAATAATCATATCCTTAGACTTGTTTCCATACTTCTGGCATCTGGTGAGGTTACTATGGCCCTCACTCCTTCATGAAAATAAATAAGTTTTCCAGTCCCTCACTGGTCATGCGTTGGCCAATTTCTCAGGGTATAAGTATAGAGTAAAAACAAGAAATGGATTAATTTCTAAACAAGAAAACTGTACTGAAAATGCAGGCCATTATTCAGGGAAATACTACAAAACTATTATTTAAGTATTTCAGGAATGTTCTTTAATGTGAACAGAGATGGCCTCAAGAAATGTACTATGGAAACAAATCTCTTTAGACACATAAATGACTGAAATTTTAAAACACAACTCTCAAGTAAATAGTCTAAATCTCTCTGTCTCTTCTGTAATGTATGCACATACCTTTTTTTTTTTCATTTGTATTCTCTGTTTCCTTAAGAGAAATAAAATCAAATGTAA